AGGCGTATCGTCCGCAAATCGAGTGGTTTGACGAGGGGTTGGGTTAACTGGGGTCGAGTCTGGTCGAAACGGTGGCATCGACGAAGGCAGAGTACTTCGGAGCCGGATCGTATGCGGCGGATCCTTCTTTCGCTTCCTCTGCGTTGTCGTTGCTTTTTGGCGAGAGGACGCTTTTGGAGCTCTTCGTGATGACGGAGGGGCTATAAGTACACGCTTTCTTCGCGATGTAGACTCAGCCGCCACCAAATCATTAGTCTCGGGTCCAGCCTCGGCGACGATAACCTCCTCGGCGGCCTCCTCGGCGGCCTCTTCGGCGGCGGCAGCCCGGCGAGCCCTCTCGGCGGGCGTAACGATCCTGATCGACGGCGAGGCAGAGCGTTGAGGAGGATCTCTGGCGGCGTCCTGTGCCAGTTGTTGTATACGTCGTTGTTTCCGCGTACCGTTGGCGATGGGTGACGGACGATGCCCAGAAGGGTCATCATCCGCCTGCCGAGCCGCGCGGCGGCGTTTAGGAGGCATCACGATGCCCTCAGATAATGAGATTCAATAGAAATAGATCAATTGAAGCCATCAGAATAGGTCAATTGCCGTACTACGAATATCTACGTGGCGTTGGGCAAATTTTCATGTATATACAGGGATTATGCGTGCGTAATTTCGGCAAAAAGGGGGGGCGGACGCTGTCAACGCAACGGAGTGTATGAAGCAAGGCGGAACACAGTAACGTAGAAAACTTCACAGATGCCCCCCTAGAACTCAGCTGCTGTCTAATATTTATATCCATTTTTGGCACTTCTTAGCCCGATCGCAATTACTCCCTGTGTTCATACATTGCGGATGCCCTTTTGCCGTTGTAAAAATAAGACCAAAAGCTTAAATCTTACTCAGATTTTGGTTCTTCGCTTGTCTTCGAAGGATTCTTACAAAGTTCTTCTTGCTGTACTAGTCTAAGTATTTTGGGAGTGGTTCTATCCTTGATGAGGCTAGACGTTAGATTGGCGCTTCCTTATCGGCAGTCATCTGGACTTTGGAACGTTGTCCGGATGAACCAGTTTAAGTCTATAAAGTCTAATTTAATCCCTGGAGACCCTTCGCCGGCTCTGGAAATATTGTCTTTCCACAATTTTACCTTCGTTCTTGAACCTTTTTAAAGCTGATCCATACGAGCCAATCATGAACAAAAGTCGTTCGCCGTCGGGGTTCCACCCCCCTTCAAAAGGCCAAACACGAACAACTTCACACGAGGAAGTCCTATTCCCGAAACTGTACGAAGATGCTTGGGGTACCGGCGGACCCGGCGACAGCCGCACTGATCTGGAAAGAGCCAAGATCTTTCTGCTTCGCTTCGCCAAGATGAACCCAGACCCGGTCTTCAGCTTCGAACTGCAAGCCATCGCGACAGACCAACAGTACCGCAACATTACAGCGTTGGCTCTCGCGGTTCAAACGAGGATATTCCGCAATCGTCATCCCAGTTTTGCCCCTACGCCACTGCTTCAATGTGTCCGATTTATGCTCATCAAAGCCAAGGTGCCGGACTTCATGTACTCCGACAAAACCAAAGTTGTGATGGACTTCTTCTTCGACCCAACGATATTCAGAAACGTCGAACCTCCGCCTGTGGACGCAGTCATATATAAGTACCCCACAGGACGTCTCAAGGTTGCCATAGTTGGTGGAGGTCCCACGGCTCTGGCGTCAGCCATCTCGCTCGCCGAAAAGGGTGCTGGCAAGATCCAAGTCCACGTATATGAAAGGCGCTGGGTGGTCATGGCAGGCCCGAACGGTACTTATGTCGACTATCCGCCGACCGCAAGGAGACGCGATCAGGTCGTCACGCTGCAAGAGTCAGTCACAACGCTGATGAGCCGGGCAACGCAGCAAGCACTTTTCGAAGGGCGCCCCGAGTGTGTTTGGCCTGGTTCAGCCAACATTCAGATCCGGAAGGTCGAGGATCGGTTGCTTCGAAGATGCCATGCGCCTGAGTTTTACGACCTGATACACCTTCACGCGGAGGGCGTTACACGCGAAGACTTGTACAAAGTTGGTGACTTTCATGTGCTCCTTGGAGCAGACGGAGCAGCATCTTGGGCCCGGAAGTCTTATTTCCATGGCTACGAGAACGAACGCGGAAGGAGTTATGCCCTTGGCTTGGCATTCGATCGGCCAGCTGGGCTTCCTTGGTCGCAACCTCTGAACGTGTTTCTAACGCTGGGCCAAACCCGTTATCTCCTCAACGCCAGTGACTTCGATGGTCGCGGGTATCTCAACATGCAGCTCACCGAGGAGGAATGGCACAAGATGTTGGCTATGGATGGTCAACCTGTCACTTTTGGGTATCCAGGATGTCTACGACGGCCGGATGGGACGATCCCGCCTGGCTTTAACGAAAACCAAGTTTTCGCACCGTCGGAGAACAGAGGAGGTTCGCTGTGGAGGTCGATATCCGATGGGTTGAAGCTTTTCGGCTTCAAGGAGAGCGAGGTCATCAACGTCGTGCGCATCCCGATTGTAGTGCAAGCTGTGCGCGAAGGCATCCAGTACCTCCCGCCATCAGATTCAGCTTCTATCAACCGGCCTCATGCCCTTGTCGCAGTCGCCGGCGACGCTGCTATGACGGTGCACTTTTGGCCAGGTCGTGGTCTCAACAGTGGTGTTAAGTCTGGCATCGCCCTAGGAGATGAGATTGTCCACGCTCTCAATGCGGGCAAATTCGTTGGTCTACCTCTGACGGCGATGCAGCAGTACAACGAATTCATCATGAAACTCCAGGATCGTGAGCACGATAAGCGCAGCATCCCTATCCTCAACCAGTCCGGAACACCGGAAACGCTTGGATGGCTCTTGAGCAAGGCGAATACAGTACCCGACAACGTCGCCATTGAATGGTTGGTCGGAGCCATGTCGCAGATTGCTGAGCGTCTGGAGCAACGAGGAGACTGGGCGTTTCAGCCAGTAGCAAATGTCGAGCCACAACTTCGAATCGTTCTTCGACAACTTGACTCTGAGACATTGAGGGAGATGGCAGTCAGCTTCCCGTGGCCGACGAGGGAGATGGGCGGCGCGGAAGTCCTGCCCCTTCGTTCGATGAAGCCCGAAGAGAAGCAAAGGTGGCTTCAACAGCTCTGGGGCCTATTGCGGGATGAAGCCCAGAAGAAGCCTCCGTCCCGCGGCGATCAAGGTCGTTCATCTCGATTCGAGGCACCTCGCGGGGCTGCCCTTCTTCCTCCGCGGGCAACCTCGCCGTCTCCGCAATTCCTTACCCCGGACTCGGGAAACCCCACTCCAAATCGGTCCGAGTCGACATTGCGCCGGAGCAATGCGAGCCAGGGTGTTCCCTCTCCTGGACCATCGGAGAGGAACCTGGCAGTCCCCAACGGAGATCAAAACGTTCCACGGCCGCGCTCGCCGTCTGTTGGTGGTGAAGTGCCACTTGGGAGGCTACTCAGTGTCAGTCAACGGCCGGGACGCGCTATCTTGGCCGATGCCATGTCCCTTGCTCTTTTCCGTGTTGACGGAGACTCCTCAATGTAGTGTCATGTCCACATGATACTTCACCAACCAATTAAATGCGAGATTGTTGTGCACGGCCGGGAGCTTCAACCCCGCCCGATGATTACGGCGCTGATAAGGAGCGCCGATTCCGCTCTCCCCTCGCCGTCCGTCCGCCGAAGACACATTTCTTGAGCGTCCGCAACATTTCTTGTTTTGCAGATTTACTGTCAACAGTTTCTCTTGAATTCAATCACTGAAAGTCGACCGTTCACTTCGTGCAGCCATGTACTCTCCTCGTGTCGGCGATGGCCTTGACAGCCTGGACACCCCCTCCATGATCGTTAACCTCGATCTTATGGAATCCAACATAAAAAAGCTATTCGACAATTTTCTGCCTACTGGTCGCAAAGTACGACCTCATCTGAAGACCACGAAAAGCGCTGTTCTTGCCCGCAAGCTGGTGGCCGCCGGCGCAACGGGCTGTTGTGTGGCGAAAGTGTCTGAGGCGGAAGCCATCACCGCGGCTGGTTTCGACGACATCCTCATCACTTGCGAAATCATCGGTGCTCCCAAAGTTAAGAGGCTTGTCGAGCTGTTCCAGAAGCACAGGGACATCAGAATTGTGGTGGACAGCGAGGTTGGTGCAACCGCAATCAATGACGCCCTGGCCCAATCTGGCATCGATCAGCCGTTAACTACCCTCATTGATCTCGACGTGGGACTGCACCGAACCGGAGTTGCGCCTGGAGAGCCGGCCTTGGCTCTCGCGAAGCACATTGCGACGCTGCCGCATCTGCGGTTGATTGGTGTCCAGGGCTACGAGGGTCATCTTCAACATCTTCACGACCGTGAAGACCGCAAGAAACAGTGCCTTGAGTCGATGAAGACGCTCGTCGACACGGCAGAGCAACTGCGAAAAGCAGGGTTCACTATCGACGTTGTCACCACTGGAGGAACAGGAACTGGGGAGTTCTGTGCGCAGGTGCCCGGTGTAACCGAGCTACAGCCCGGCTCTTTCATTTTCATGGACACCGATTATCGAAACGCAGTTGGCACATTTTACTCGAATAGTCTTACCCTTTTGGCGACGGTAGTCAGCAAACAGGGCGAACGTCAGGTCACGATTGATACGGGCCTCAAATCCTTGACGACTGACAGTGGACTGGCAGAGTGCAAGGATCCTAGGTACAGGCATGCGAACCTTGGCGACGAGCATGGCTCCTTGACGTGGGACGAGGGGACGCCGGCGCTTAACGTGGGAGATCGGGTTGAGATGATTCCTAGCCACATTGATCCGACTATCAACCTTCACGACTTCTACTATGCGCACAGAAATGGGGTTATTGAAGAGATTTGGACTGTGGACTCAAGAGGAAAGGTCCAATAGAAACAGTAGGATGCATAATGTCGAGTTTATTGAGATCCCATGACCAACACCATGAACCAAGTTAAAATGAAATCCCGCATGAGAACTTCTTGACAGCTTTGGTATATCTTCCGTCTGATCATGCGCTCTCGTGATGTTGCGTAACTCCGGCTCTCTTGTCGTCTCCGGATACAAAGGTATCAGTAACCCTTGCTGACTCTCCGTCGAAAATGACAGCCATTTCCTCCAGCGTGTGACCCCTAGTCTCGGGGTAGAAGAAGTAAATGATCACCGTTCCGATGATCAGAATGACGACGAACACAAGGTAATATTTCCAACCCATTGCGTCGAAGGCGATTGGATTGACGAAAACATTGAAGAAAATTCCGAAATACGTAGACATTTGCGTCAAGGCGGTGCCGCGGGCACGCAGCTGGTACGGCCAGATCTCGGCGGGGTATGATACAATAAGGGGTGTACTGTGTTTTGAAGGTTAGCGTTAAACAAGAAACAAATTCCGAGGTCCCAGGAAGGGTGATGCTTACAATGCAATGTCGTAAAAGCTGTAGTAGATGTACAGGAAGGGAACCACCGCAAGGCCGACCGATGCTTTTCCTGTTGTGGCGAAGCCACCATTCAAACCCGAAAGAATGATATAACTGGTGAGCATACCCAGAACACTGGTGAGGAACAAGAAGCGACGGCCGACTCTATCGACGGACATGGCAGCCGAGACTGCCATGACCAGGTTCCAACTCTGCAAGCAGCCGTTGATGATGGTTTGGTCCGTAATCGACGTGATTCCGACTGCTTTGAGGACGTCTGCGAGGTAGTAGCTGACCAAGTTGTTTCCGCCCTGAAATCGTCAGTGAAATGGTACTATGTTTGTACGCTTTTTCTCTTACCCATTGAGCCAGCAGACCAAGCGTAATTGAAATAAAGGCTCTATGCCTGTTTCCAGGGGTTTTGAACATCTCCATCCAAGAAGAAGTCTCGCCCGCAGCCTTGTCGTCTTCGATCGCCCGCTCGATCTCAGCCATCTCGAAGTCGACCAGCAAGGAATGTTCGTCGCCACCGCCGTGGAGCTTGACAAGGATCCTGCGCGCTTCCGCAATCCGACCCTTTGAGACCAAGAAGCGGGGCGATTCGGGGACCAAAATGGCGGCTGGGAGAACGACGATCGGAACGGCGATTTGAAGAAGGGAGGGAATGCGCCAAGCCCATGTGCTGTCGTAGTTTCGGGTGCCGTATGTTACCTTGGTCCTGTAAGCGACATTCAAAAGAGCATGGTTATTATCAACTTACCCAAGCAGCGAACGAGCTACCGACGAACCAACCACAGTTGTAAAGCCTGTAGTCAAGCCACTTCAGTCATGCCATGGCAAAGCTTGAACGATGTAATACTTACGCTGTAAGGATTCCACGGTGGGTTGGATACGCCAGCTCAGTGATGAGAACAGGTGCAAGACCACCCCACCAACCACTAGGTTGACCGATGAACAGCCGTCCGAGAATGAAGCCCGTCTTGTTGGGAGTGAAAGCCTGCAGCATAGAGCCGAGGACCAAGAAGGCATATCCCACGAACAGGCCTTTCTTACGGCCCCATCGATTGGCGAAATAGGCGACCGCAGGGTAAGCAAGCATAGTCGACAAGGACTGAACGGCGTTGATGAAACCCAGCCAGGCGCCTTTCGGTTGGTCCATGAAATTCATCCATTGAGGCAGAGCCAACAACCCGTTCATCATCGATCCATCGTATCCGTTCGCGGCGCACAAAAGGCCCAAGAAGACGCAGTAGTAGTTGAGCCATCTCAGATGTGACTTCTTGTACCATGGGAGGCCATCCTTAGGCAGGACAGCTTCAAGCTCGGGGCTGATGCCCTTGCTCTTGTTGGAAGCACCCTTCGACTTTCCGAACATATTCTCAGAGTGTCAAGGGACGTGAATCAATAACAAAAGGGACCATTGAAGACTCCAAAAGCGCCGGAAGTCTGGTCGGGGAGAAAAGAAGAGCCAAGAGAGTTGGTAGTGACAAGACTTACTTAATTGCTTCCGAACCGGGACTTTTAAGTCGATGCACAGACATACAATCGTCCCAATTCATGGTTGAATCTCCATCAACGGCAGGGAACTACAAGCGCCCCCGTGGGGAAACCACTCAGTCTGACATGGGGTAAGTCTGGGGCAGTTGAGGTGAAGCGTCCTCGGGGAATATCGGGGTCTGAGCTTCGAGCACTTGTTCAGAGTTCACCTCCTTGGCAAACGGGGCTGTTGTTAAATCCTCGACATTCCCGCGTTGAGGCTCCGCTTGTCACCGCATCACATGGTTAGATCCAGATAGCAACGTCATTCAACCTGAAATGATATCGGATTTCACCTTTCCCATCTAAGGACTGATGCTGAAGCCATGAATTCGTTAAAGAGTTCTGTACGCGGGTCAGGGGGGTAAAGCTCCCCTGGGAGAGGTACTAGCTCGATAACCAAAGCATCGGCCTCCAGTCTGAAAGGCTTTCAGGTAGTTCTTCAATTGACAGATGGATAAGAAAGCTTTAGATGTAAATCAGCAAGTCTATGTTCTTCATATGCCGTGCGCAAAGAATCCGAAAGCGAGATGAACTACTTCCCCGCATGATCTTACGACAAATAATCGGGATTTGAGGAGAGGTTGGGGGAAAGAGCGGGTCGTCGGACATTTGCGCCGCGTAGACAGGTTCCCAAGACGGCAGCACCTTCAACCTGGTGGATTCTTCATCGTCCATAATGAGTCGCGAGTGGTCATAGCTCGCTGGTTGCCAGGCAGTCTGGAGTCTGGACTTGATTCGGTGAGTGCTCACCGCAGGGGATACTACGACTCGCGGAGTGTCGGGCAAACTCCGCGCTTTACACCATCCAGCTCCGACAAACTCCGCAACGCGTTCAAATAATAGCATCGAAACGTCAGGCACGGGTAATCATCGGCATATCGTCGCTCTAAACTTCTACGGACCAGGATATCGTGGTTGTTCCCGGACTGAGCGGTCCGTCATACCGTCTGTACTCCATCACTTGCGTCTAAGACCTCGCATACAATACGCGTTCAACCACAAACATGCTCATGCGTGCGTGATGGTACGCTCATCTTCCTTCATCGAGATTGTGCGGCTGCCCTTGCCTTTTCTGTTGGAATATTCCTCGATCTGGGAAGCACAGCCCCTGAGACAGGGGCTATTTTTCTGAGTGCTGTGAACCTCACACAATGGGATTGTAGAACCTCATCCGGTTCTCTGGATCCCACTTCTTCTTCAAGGCCCTCAACTTCTCCAGTCTCCATTCTTCCCACCCATACACAGACTCCAAAGACTCGTCTCCATGCGCATAATTGACATACGCCCGCAGCCGCTCCGGATCGTCGCTCGCTTTCAGTAGATGACCCCGCAACCTCTCTCCATAGTCTTGAGCTAGAGCATCCAGAGATGCGTTTGGCTTGTACACGACGTAGGGAGTGACCAAGAGATCATCATCGCGATGCGGGAAGGCAGAGCTCTCGGCATCAATAGCCTTGACCCCCTGCGTCGAATAGCCCTCCAACATGAAGAACGACCCCGCAAGCTCAGGAACGGTAAGAGACATCTCAGTCATGTCATCAAACACTTTTCGAATGGCGGGAAGATCGTATCTCTTTAGCCCGATAGGATACCTGAGGCCAGTGTTGCCTTTGGCACAGCCGAGGCTGTCCTCACTAGTAAACACCTTCACAGCCAAGTCGGGCATCGGTGTAGAGCCATTTTCGACACTGACATGCTCGATGTCGAAAAGAGGCTTGGCATACTCTATGGTATCACTTTCACTTCCATCGTTAATGATGGCGTACCAGATGATTGGCTAGCAACGTTAGCCATGAAAAGGAGGTGGATCCGCATTCGGGGAACGTACTCTCTCCGGATCAATGTCGGGAAGGTTAATGAAGTAAATCCAGTGGGCGATCTCAGGCGGTTGCGTCTCCATCATCTTGTTAGTCACTTCCATTACCTCTTCTAGATGCTCAGCGAGGAAGATGAAAATGCTGTAGCCCCAAGCATTGTTCTTGATATCGTAGACGCGGTACTTCCACTCGGTCACAATGCCGAAGTTGTGTCCAGCTCCCTGCAAGGCCCAGAAGAGATCGGGGTTGGTCTCCTCTGATGCCGTCACCGCTTCGCCGCTGGGAAGGACAATCCGGGCTGAGATGACTTGGTCTGAGGCTAGGCCGTACTGTCCCTGCAGCCAACCATGGCCGCCTCCGAGGATTGGTGCTGAAAAGCCGACGCATTCGCAGAGGCCGGTCGCTTGGGGAGATAAGCATCTGATCCCTGTCAGACATTCTGGGGAAATGGACTCACTTGTCTGCTTGCCTGCCGCCCAGAGGGCATTGACAACCGTTTTCACGCTCGCGCCGCCGCCTAGAGTTGCCGTCTTTCCATTTTCTGATATCTCAACTTGATTCCAACCCCGCACGTCAATCATGATCGCGTCTTTAGCATCCTGCAATGCTTCGGTCGCGCCATGCCCGCCAGACCTGGCGAGGAAGGGTATTTCATGTTCATTAGCGTACCGGATCTGTGCAAGTCGGTATCAATCAGTCTTTCAGTCCACTGACGATCAGTCGACCAGAACTCGTTCTCGACTTCGTGTATACGTACCGTGGCTTGGATATCACTCTCCTTGAAGACATTCACGACAGCACCCACGCTAGGCGCATGCCACTCTCTCCATCTGCTTATAGACGATTCGAATGATGGCTCATCGGGCAGCAAGATAGATGCTTGGGGCGAAAGTTGCGCCGCAAGGTCCGTCCAAGACCCCGCGACGTTGTGAGCAAGCAGTGAAGCGAGACCGAGGCGGCCCAAGATCTTCTGGGTAGAGACTGTCTGGTTCAGCGCCCAGGCTACGCCGGCGGTCAGTACCTCCATGTCAAATATGCAAAGAATCAAGTTTGAGCTCAAGAGATGAGAAAGCTATTTGCAAATTGTCCCCTCATCCACTGGTGAGTCGCAACACATAGGTAAATAATTTGTCAAGAGAAGTGCGGGGCTTGTGCATGTTTTTTATCGTCGCAGTCAACAGAAGGGACAGTTCAAAAGCTGCATGACTTAGCGAATAATCTGACAGCAGATCAGCGGCTAACCGAACTCGGTCAGTGGCCAGTGGGATGAAGAAAACTGGGAGTATCGGTGTGATAGTATGGTTGCTTTTAAGACCAAAGTTCCTTCTGCTGCTCCAGCTTGTGGAGTAGAATGCAACTCTCGCCATGTTGTCAACAGACAGGTCAGCATGTCGGCTTGGAAAATAGAGTTTGAAGGCATTCTTGGCAATTTCACCATTTCCCATGGGCCGGATTCCCGGACTTATCGTGAAGGCAAAGTAAAAATTAACATTATTACGTGGCATATCTTGGCGTAGCCCCGTGCTCTTATTCATAGCTTATTTCAACCCCGGATATCCTTCGTAGAGGCTGCCTCTCCCAGTCTCAAAGCTCTTAACAGCTAAGATCAAAAACGGGAGTCGAGCTGCCTGCCGGCGTCACGCCGAAGGAGATGTCGGTCTGCGCAGTGTTCGCATCAAGAAGGGTGTACCACCAAACGTTGCGCTGGCCAAACAGAGCGCAGCCGACCTGAGACCAGTAGGTGTGAGCATTGTCGACGGAGGCGACAGCAGCGCCCGACTGAGGACCGACTACGATAAACATGTTAGTCAAAGACATTTCGAGACGTGTAGCACCGTAACGGTGAGGCTGGGTCTGGTTCAACTTACTGTGCGGCCAGCCAGTCTCGGTGATGTACACAGGCTTTCCTCCTGCAACACTCTCGGTGTTACCCACGGCAGTCCAGAAGTTGTCGGCGGCCTGCTCGATGGCGTTGGGCTTGGTCGACTCGAAGTAGGGGAAGGAGTTATGGCCGAGCCAGTCAACAGAGGCGGCGACACCGGCGTTCTCGCCTCTAACCCACGCGGTCCAGGTGTCGACGTGGCCGATGGGCTTGCCCTCGAGCGCGGTGCCGCGGATCCAGTCCCTCAACCAGCCGATGTATCCCTCAATCTCGGCGCCGGTGGCGCCGACGCCGGCGTTGGCGGCAACGCCATCGGGGCTGCTGCGGTAGAGATCCTCAGAGCCGACGCTGATGCCGACGACACGGTCGGTGAAGGCGGTGCCATACTGCTCGGCGGCGCGCAGCAGAGAGTTGAGTTCGTTCTCGTAGATTCCGCGGCCGGCACTGGCCCACAGGCCCACCAAGATCTGAGTATCGGTGTCGATCGCGGCCTGGTAAGCCGAGATCGGGTCGTTTACCGTGCCGCACTGGATCGACGTGTAGAGGCGGGCAGATGCGAAGCCCGATGTTCCGGCCAAGCTCTTCGCGGTGTTGAAGTAGCTCACGAAGTCATCGTAGCCTCTGCAAGAGCCGTCTTCGTTGGTGGCTCCGTAGTTGAAGCCCTGCTGGGTCTGGGCCAAGACGGTGGTGGCCAAGGTGGCCGCGACAGCTCCTCTCAGATACATGTTGAAGATATTATAAACTAAAGATAATAATTGAGAATTAGGGATGGATGAGGGCTTCTGGAAGTCTGGTCGAAGCTGGGCATCTCAGGGTCCTTATTTGTTTACGTCGGGCCATCTTTAAGGTATTTAAAGTGCGCCACATGTTCGGTAGCATGTACAACAAAAATAGCTACCGACAGACACGAGAGAATTTTTGTGCATGACGTCGCTCGCGTGCCTTCGTGGAGCTCGTATTCTTGCCAGCCAAGACGCATCTCACTGCCGTCACCGACCGGTTTTCCATTGGGGTAAACATGGTGAAAGGTGAAAAAAGAATGGTATTGGACCTGGCAGTCAGCTAGTAGTGATCGGCAGACTCAGCCTACAATCTCCACTTGCACCGTCAGTCTAGGCCCCTCCTAACTCGTCATTCCCGTCCAGCTCATCGTCAATGGGGCAGTCTTGGCGATAATGTGCGCTGATTGAGCCCCATCAGTCCGCTGTTGGCTGGGTTGTGTTGTTCGGTCCCCCCTACAGCACGATCCTCAGCTTGGACTCTCAGCCCCTTGCGGTCCCTGAGTATTGCTTCTTTCTGGTATTCTAGAGAGATTATCGACGGCCGGGGAAACGTTCCGCCAATTTGACATCCCCTTTCCGCGTGATTACTCCCGCTGTTTTGGTGTGTTCTAGACCTGAAAACTGGTCTCGGTAACTGGAACCCCAGCAGCGCATCAACTGAAAAATGGCGGTGGAGTGTCTCTGATTCAACACAATGTCTCCTGTTTTCACGTCGTGTTCCATGCAGAATCCCGAAGGATCTTATGCAAAATGGCTTGCGATTCCGTGCGATGAATCATGTTTTGTACTACATGTAGCCAGCTGTATGCATCGCAACACAAGAATTACACATGTTTCTTGACTGCGAGGAAAGTTCAAGGTGCGATCCTGATGGCCATGCAGGGACGACAGCACGAAGCGGGTCGGTACCTGAATTCCACGCCCATAACCTCGGGTTCACGGCTGACTGCGGCGTACTTGTGTAGCGATTCTTTTGCTGACATGAAGTCCGCAGGAATACACACATCATCATTTGATTCATATACCCAATCTCCAGAAAAGCTCTATGACTGTTATGAAAACTGAGGCTCTGCATGACCGCGTGTACGTCTGGATGTACTGCACTGGGGCCCCTGAGTGAGCCTAAATCTGCCGCCTGGGCCCCGGCTTGGCCAAGATGCCGTCCGAAGGTTCCGACTAGGGTCCAAGAAGCTCGAGCAGCAAGACGGCCGGTGAACGGGCCGAAAGAGACAATACCGGCCGCATCCAGTGCTGATCTTTGACTGAAGCAGATATCAGGTGATCGAACAATTTGTCTGGGCTAGTTCGCCTCATCAGTTGCCAGAAGGAACGCTAGGCGTACTTCCAGCGCTCCTTGATGTCTGTATTACTACACATTAACTATGTCATCCTCACCGTCACTTGTGTATTTGTACGTGACTGCGAAAACGACCCTGTCGTTACATTTGTCCTGGTTTCATTTCATCGTCTTGCTCCATTTCCCAGAGACAAGTGATCGGGCTTCCCGGTGCCCTTCCATCCTCACTCTCATCAGCTTGCGCAGGACGGACGACCCGTAACATGTAGCGATCACAGCTAGAACAGCCGAGGTTCCGCATACGCCTGGAAACGCCCAGTTGTAGTCTACAATGTAGTTAGATATATTCATGCCGTAGAAGGCAGAAAAAAAGGAGCCCGACGCAAGGCCAAGCGTCCCCATGCGGTATTTGAGGTCGAGTAACATCAACGAGTTGCGGTTGGCATCGAGAATGGCGCTAGCGCTGGAGGCAGGCCAAGACGGAAGAAACAGTCAGAGGGGGTTCTAGAATCTGAAGCAATGGTGTGTGACACAAACCTCTCTTGGGTGTTCCGAATGCTGGACACCAGACTCTGCGCCTCCTGCACGATCTCATTGAGAGCGTTGTAGTACGACCCCAGCAATGACTCTGCCGCCGTGAGGTCGTCGTCCACAGTCTTTGCCAAGGCATTTGGGTCTGCCTTCTCTGTCAGGTACAGAGCGGCAAGGCTGTCATCCCAATCGAGGACATCTTCGACAGCGCCGAGGACCAGCTCCGCTTGCGCCGCAACCCAGGTTGCCCTGCCGGACAGACCGAACAGGTTCAGCAACACGCGGCGGTCCACATCATCTTCGAGAGATGCGAGAACACGATCAGCCGGAAGTCGCACAGCCGCGAGCTCTCCCTCGAGCTCCGTTACAACAGAGCTCAACACAGCCTCTAGGGCCAGGAACTCGAAGGTGGCTTGCGGCTGCGCGTATGTCTCGTCTTCCTTGCGCTCGCACGCTACCTCGGCCAACGCCGCATTCCTCTGTTTTATTGCTTCGCCGATGTCGCGCAGAAACGCTTCGCGTGAGGTGGGACTCGTCGCATCGTCGAAAATAAGGGCTCGATCGCGCTGCACTAACACCTTCAGGTGGAAGAGGTGGATGAGAACGGTCGAGGGCCGGATGCCAATGTGGGAGAGTGTCGAAAGCTCAATCTTGCGAATGTCCCGAGGGACAAGGCCGTACCGTGTGGTGAGCTCGGTTTTCTTCGCCGAGATATATCGCACTGTCACGTCGCCATTTTCGTCCACCTCGGTGCACCGAAGGCGCTTCGGCTGACACGGAATCGCGCTCGGAGTGCTGACGGTCGGGGGAGCAGAGGCTTTGGTGGTGATAGATCGAACGGTCAATTGATGTGCTGTGAAGCAGATGCGGTAGGAATGTCGAATTAGGCGCATGGCCATCGAGGCAGGGCTCGACAGGTGAGTTGTAGATTTAACACAGCTAGGGTAGCTCTTGCATACGAGCATGGATCGAAATTATTTGATGATTTGCAAGCCACACTCCGACGCCACAGTCTTCAGCCACTCAATGTGCATAAATGGTGGACGCTTTTGGCTGATGCAATGTAGGGAGCGCAACGACTATCAAATCGTTGTAACCAGAATGCGCAATACTTCAGTTGAGGAATAACATCGGACCACTTTTATTCTCTAGGCACCCTTTCCAACAGTTCCGGCGAGATATTTATCTCTTCCAGATAAATGAAGCTGGAAAGCAAAATACGGACAACCAAGTAAGATATCTTCCGCAGTAATAATGGGCGATGTTGATTGCCAGTCTACCGGATTCTCGGATCCGGTCCGGCGTTCTAGCGACCCCTTTCCCCTGTTCGATCTACCACTCGAATTGCGGGAACAAATATACTGCTATCTGGTCTACTACGGCGGAACCGTGAGCCTCTCGAGAAGACCCTGGGGGATTTTGGTTTACACAACAGAAGCTCGTTTCAAACCTGACACTGTCATCTTGAGAGTGAACAAGCAAACATACTCCGAGGCCATGCCGTTGCTCTACAGAAGCTGCACCTTCGACCTGGGATCAGATACAAACGAACAAACTGTCAATGACTTCTTCGGCAGGTTCTCTAAGCAAACAAGAAGGAATATTCTGCGCGTAACGATGTTTCCCCGGCGCTTCTTTGCAACCGTTCCACGCATCCCCTGGGAGCCGGCGTGTTTGGCTGTTGCTGCGTTGTTGCCTGCCCTTCAGGAGGTCACCGTCGTTCTCAACCCCAATGACTACCCGTTTCTCTTGCGCGACGATGAAGCGGCGGATTGGATTGTTGGACCGCTCTCCAACATTCGTGCAGCGCAGAAAACACTGCAAGTGGTCGAGACAGGTCCGAACAGCAAGCGAGTTGTCGCACGATGGAGCGAGCTGGTAAAAGCTGCGGACGCGGCGCGGCGCAAGCGAGAAAGAACTGGGAGTCGCAAGCTACCTACCAGTAATTCACGAGATGGAAGGCAATAAATTCTCGTAGCCTATGCTATGATATCAGTAGCGTGGGGTGGCTATTCTTCTGCAGAAACATTCCAAGGTGTCATTTGTCTAATGAACGGTGCACATTAGTAGTCTGTGAACCACTCTCTTCAACCAAATGATGTACTTTAATAGGCTGTATACCACTCCTCATGACAGACAGAGCACCTCAAGCTAAGAAAATTGTTTCCGGAGATGACTGCCCAAGAGCGGAATCCCACGCGTCAGCATGAATTTGCCCAACAGCAACCCGTTCCACCCACATACCCTTCCTTTCGACCAACATGATGTTTAGGGCCCACCACCTTCGGTATTTGTACGCCGTCGTATCGAATATTTCTTCGTAGTACTCTTTGGCGGAGGGATACTCCAGAGGCAAGTTAGTGCTTGGCGTGGCGTCGATGTCAGCTTGTAAGACCTCGTCTTGATCGCTGCGCGACAGCAAAATCATTTCCCATTTCTCCTGGTCATGATGTTCAGAGAAATTGATTCCACGAAGGGTTCCGCAATGTCGGCCATTGCTGTCATACAACCAACCTGCGCAGGTCAAATTCCCTCGAAAGTAACGACTGCAAGCTGGGTCGAAGTCTGGGGACTTTATCTCAAAGGCTGTAGCGTTGATGATCTTTGCCTTGAACATAAGAGTGTTTGGTGGGATATCAATCTCCAGGTGATGAGAGTCCGGCATACTTGGCTGCTTCTCGGGCGGTGATGAAGCAAGAATTTGGCCACCATGGTTGGGGCTTCCTGCCTCGCCAATCTTCCTAAATCCGATTGTCTTGCTGATCCAGTACCCTTCAACCTCAGACTTTGTAGTCACTGCTTTCCCCATGAATTTTTCTTTTCTCGAGGGATCCCAGTACACATGCCCCTCCCATGCCGTCCAGCACCAGGTAGGCGAGCGGCAGAGCTGTGCATCCGAATCTTGCTTCGCTTTATGTCTTGGTCGAAGCGTATTGCCGAGACGCGGCCCCCAGAAAAGGAAGGACTCGAAGTTGCTCTCTGGGATAGCACTGACAAATGACCAGCCAAACACCTCCCCCATCTTTGAAAGCAATCCGGCAAAGGCATTCAGCGAATCGGAATGATAAGAGAGTCTTCTGTCTGAATATTCGTTGACAAGACTCTCATAAAACTTTTGTCGGGACATGAGGACGGAGCGGGAAAACAGACCAGTTGAGACATTGTCCCAAAGTGCCATTCCGTGGTAATGATACTGAGTGCTGCTTTCTGAAGCCACATGATGGGAGCAAACCCAGTATGCTTGGTAGTCCGTGAGGTATATGCGATTTCTGGAAAACACACCTTCCTGGAAAGTCCAAGCTCTCGACTTCCACTTCGATTTCCACAGGAGCGGCAAGAGAGCGGGAGACTTGGCTTCCAGCGATCGAGCGCCAAACTTGATTGGGGTGTTGGGTTCCTTACGGGGGTAAGAGACGCCCGGCAGACCATCGTTCGCATCCTTTCCTGATGCAGCTATGATGGTTGCCAGGGCTGATTGATATATCAGGTGCATTTGTGGGATGTACTTTTCTTTGAAAGCGTCATCGTCTTGCACAATGCACAAGGAGTCTACCCAAAGATATCTTTGCTTGATGCTGGCGGTAAATCCAATGGCGTCCTGGATAACCCGTGGTATTTCCCCCATGACGCCTTTCAGAAAGCCAGGGATTTGCAGGCTGGGAAAATTGGCCTTCTGGCTCCGAAATGCTGTGAGGCCCCCCCAGACATAGCTAAGAGCAACGTAGCTACAATCCCAGTACCGCTGGACTAGGCACATATCTTGTACGTCGACCAGCCAAAGATCCGTAGCAACTGCGGAATTCGAGCTTCGTCCCATGCTACACACCTCGTGAGATTGGCAGTCTTCGATCCAGGAGCTGATCAGCGCGTAGTTCAATTGCCCTGCGGTGGCAGTTGGCACAGTTTTGTTGCCGTCGCTAATACAGTCTTCCAAAGGAGCGCCAATGAACCCTAGTAGTTTGTAACTTCCAACCAGTCCTTCTGGGATTGAATCGGATGTCATATCGCAGTATACCTTGATCAGCGACGACGATGATCCAGCTTGTTGCTCGTCAACTTGTAGGTAACACATCTGATTAGGATGCTCTCCTGGTCGCCAGTGTGGATCTAGGTGAGCATGGAATGCTTGGATAACCAGTCTGCAGAATAAGCAGTGTTCGCTTTTGGAAACAATTTCTTGAAATAAACCGAGCTCCAAGTTCACGGCCTTCGTTGGAACATTGACGATAGCGTCGAAGGGAACGGTGCTGCAACGACTGCAGAGGTGGCTTGGCTCATCCTGGAGGCCGGTCATGACTGCGTGAAGTATGCGATAATTATTTGAGAATGAACACGAACGAGGCCTCTTCGCTCTTGGTTGAGAAAGTCGTTGGTGGAAACGAGACAGGAAGTTGGCAATAATAAGCAGTAAAGCTGGACGCCGTTGAAGAGCGTGATCTTTTGTACGAGGGGGATCGGCATTAATGCACGCGGCCCAAAGTGGACCGACGTGGTATTTAAGACTTGTTGCCTGTTCGTTGCGTGGTGTATTTCCTTTTGTGCCGCAGTCCTGCATACGTTACTTCCGCAATCGTGGGCTATGGGTTGCGTATCGCCCAGAGGCGAGAAACACACAGAGGCGAGAAACACAAGCTTAATGGCCCTCCCTCTAGCCCTATTTCTATCCGCCTGACCTGTCTAGATTATACCTTGCCTATCCTTTGGTCGAGCCCCCTGATGTCGAGTGTCTGGACTGCGTCTTGGAAGAACAAAGATAACGGCAAAAAGTACGGCCACGGGCTTCAATCCTCATCCATCTCATCATCCTCTTCGTCGATATTGCAAAAGGCATGATCGTGGGCAATCAGGCCCAGGGCGCAGTAGTCGGGCTTGATCTTCTTCTTCTTCTTCTGGTCCTCATCGCCCTTGACAAAGCTCCTGGCGTCATGTCCAATCGAGATGATGAATGACTCCAACACATTGCGGGTGATGTATGTGCCAGGTGTACCCCAGCAGCGAATACCCGCACGAATCTCCTTGGTGATGGCATTGGCCACGTCGGAGTTCTGGGTCTTCGTCCGCCAGCCAGCGACAGTGACGGAAACCAGGAATACCCACCAGATATATCGAGCACGAGGACGAAAGTCGGTGAGGAACTTGAGCTTACGTCCATGAAGCTCAAGAAGAGAATGAATACCTTGACTGAAGCTGAGTGTCTTCTCTTCGGTGAGGGTCGGATGGGAAGGATCGATAACGATAATGTTGTACTCCTTCACCTCCGATTTCTCCCAATCGCGCAGGCGTTGCTTGCGCCCCTCGGTGTCATTCAAGGGAAAATCGAGGTCAGCGGGCTCCAGATCAATATCCGGCACGATAGCCAGCACGCCGTCATCCAGGGCTTGTTCAATGTCCTTATGAAGGAAGAGGCCGTTCTGCGCTTTGAACAACTCCTTGACAGTGCCCGGGCCGAAAATTGTGTCCATCGAGTCTCTGAAACGATGTGGAAAGAGATGTACAGTATGAAATATCTCGCTCCGATTCCATTCCGCAAGTACAGGATCCCAGCAGCAGTTTTTGTACCGGCGATCAGGACAGTACTTCTTCAGCATGTGATCTCTGAATGCGAGCTGGTCCTTATTATCACGTTTGCTGACCGCGATGTTGATCTCCATGGACTGCTTATGAGCGAGGTACTTGGTGGACCACCTGTGGTTGTTGTCTTTTGCTAGCCAGTCCTCGAGAGTCTTGACTTCACCTTTGTCCTTGGCCTCAAGGAAGTTGACGTGTGCCTCCATTGCGACCTCATCCATGTGCATTTGCTCGATGTCAGCGCTGTCGGGCCAGAAGCGGGAACCGGACGACTTCAAGGGCTGGACCTTGACTTGCTTCTCCTTTAACTTATGCGTGAGAAGCTGGCGCTGGTAGTCGAGCTCCTTCTGCGTCCCGGTGTTGAGGATGTGAAGTCTGTCGGACCAAGGGACACTGGGCGCAGGGCCCTTGCCCTTAAATGCTTCTGCCATGGCGCCGGAAAAGGAAGAAAGCGACGCTGGACGAAGACAGCGAAAAGAATGTCTACCGACGGCGAAGGAGGACAGAGACGACGGACGAAAACGGCGATAATGGTTGCCGTTTGAGAATGGAAGAGGGCTGTAATCTGGTGAATGGGTAAGGCGTCAGGCGAAGATGAAAAGTCTGCGACCAATTTTAAGTCTGGAGAGCAGGCAGGTACGTGGTGGGCGGACGAAATCACCTAAGGGACCTACCTTCCTTCCTTGATAGAGTTTATTTGACACGTCTCCGATACAACTGAGAGGCAATTCTCAGGTTCTTGAGCTCTTTGGGTTCACAGACGCTCTTTGAGAGGCCTTTCAGCTGGATCTTCACCCTGAGACATAGCTAGGAGAAAGCCTGTTCTTCCTGAGAGCTGCTGGGACCTTCCGCGCCTTCTTTGTTCGCTGCATGGTGATGGCGTTGGTCAAAACCATGGTCGATGTCATGCTGAAGCGAATAACCATTTTGTCCTTGTGTTTTGGGGGGCTATGTATTCTGGGCAGGGCTTAGAATCTGTTGAGATCTAGCCATATTTATTATTTCAACAACTCTTCGCGTTATCCCATCCACCCGTTATCCAGGCTCTACACTTGTCCAGCAATTTTGGGATGCGTATGACTACTTAAAGCCCAGTGAGGTACCCAACTCGGGCAACCCTTGCCGCCCCTCGTTTTCTCGCGACCACAAGGTACCTTTCCTCCGTCAAATAACGGCCTGGCCAATAGCCTCGACCAAATCAAGCACCTCCGGCTGAGGCTTCGTCGCGCCAGATTGAACCGTCGAAATCCACTCGTCCACGGCCTTAACAAGGTTCGTCGCCTTCCTCGTGTAGGTGCCTTCCGCGCTTCCAGACGTTCCCCCGTCGTCTTTGATATCCATGCGAAGGTAGGCGAGCCTTGCCTGAACCAGCGCCTCCAGCATCACGTCGCAAGTCGGGGCATGAATTGGGTTCTTCCTAATGTTCTTCTGCAAGGTTCCGCCGCCGACAACTCTGGTCACCAAGCTCTTCGACAGCTTGACGAAGAAGTCCTTGCGCCGTCCGTCGAGATTCTGGCTGTGTCTGCTGTAGCTGTACTTGAGGTTATTGGCCTCGCTCATCAGAGTGCGAGCAAATTTCGCAAGGCTGACTCGATCGCTCTGCAGGCCATCCAGGCCGAGACTGCGGCAGAGGTTGTCGGAAACACCTGCTTCGAGGGGTCTGGCGTTTTCGAAGTAGAAGCCGGCGTTGAAAGCGTGTTTGAACGTCTGGCTCAGGTGGGCGAGCCCCTTTCCCAGCTTTTCGTGTGAGTTCATTTCGGGGCGAGGAGTGCGGATGGCCGCGGCGCCTGGCATCGGTCAGCATGTTGAAAATCAAGCAGAAGTGACGATCCGCTGGCTTTGCTTGAGGTGAACATACCGATTCTTTTCTCGCGGTTCTGAATCATCTTCGCAAGGCCACGACGTCCCCTCGCTTTGCGCACCGCGCGTTCCGAGATGGGTTCGGTGCTCTGGGTCGCATGGGCGGCGGCAGGAAGAGCTGGGGAGGGTGCAGAGGTTGAATTCTCGCGATCGATTTCCATCTCGTTGAAGGAGGATGTCATCTCGACGACAGGCTTTGGGTCTGCCATTGTACAGACTTGCCAAGGGAAGCGCGCTAGCAAGTGTTGTCGAAGGTGAGGGCAATTTTCGAGGTTGCGGGAAGAATGGAATTCTCCAAGTTAGTGTGGTGTAGTCAGCGCCTGAAGAGTTTTTCTGGGGGCAGGTTTTTGATATATCAGGTGAGTTTGTGAATACTATGAATAGCCGGTGTCGAATCGGGGTGAGTCAAGGCTTTGTGAAGCAAGGTGAATAGCGTCTGGTAGAGCCATGATGTTTGTGGGGAGTGTGCATCTGGACAACTACGGCCTTAGCAAAGAAAGATTAGTTGTAAAGTTCAGAAAGTTCACAGCTATGACGGGACAGGAATTTTAGCATACATCTCTCCTCCAGGAATGGAGAGACAGAAAATATGATATGCAGCGTCCTATGCTATTGATTGCAAGTCTCTACATGTCCGTTTCACATCCAGTAACATGCAATGGATGTTTTGTTTTCATGAGACACAAGGAGTGTGTTATTTGCTACGCTAGGTAAGCTAATGGTCCTGCCTTAGCTTTCGCATCTGCTACGCTAAGCTAGGGATCCTGCCATAGCTTTCGCACAATCACCAAGTCCTTCCACAACCATCATGTTGATATCTCATACCGATTCGTAGTCTTGATCGTCTCCAGGATGTTGGCTAATGAGGATTCTGCATTGGATATGCACGCTCGATTGCGACGATAGCGACACCGAGGTCGTCACGGTTCTGCATATAGGACTCTCTCTCGGTCACCCCCATAGCAAGGAGAAATCCAATAAAAACCTTTGCCTCTAACAGATTCACTGCGCTCTTTCCCCAGTAACGAATGGCCTTTTCCACCTGGCTTTTGGTGTGCGCAGCGTGGGTTGTATGCTCATAGTTTCTCAGGCATCGCCATGACGCCACCAAGGCTGCAGACAGGAATGACCACCCGACGAAAGAGACTCGCGGTCTCATGGACGTCTTGAACTTCAGCTTGTGGCCGTGAAGCGAACCAAGTTCGCGTTCAACATCCCCATATTTTGTCGTGATCTTACACGTGTCGTGGACTAGCGGGTGCGCTTCATTAATGACGATCAACTGATAGTCCTGGACCTTGTTCATCCACTCATCGAAGCGGCTTTCAAACAATTCCGTTTGGCTGATCTTTGACGGAGGTTCCATGCCGAGATCAGGGACGATCGCCAGAACACCCTCTTCAATGGCCCTCGAGACGGAAGGAGGGAGGAAGAGTCCGTTGTCGGCCTTGCATACCCTGTTGGAAAAGCAGCCGAATATTCTTAACATGGTATCTCTGGACCTGTAAGGGAACAGAAGCATGGAATCGCGGTAGCTCAAATCCGGGTTCATACCACCGAGTACAGGATCCCAGACGTTGTTATTCTCCAGAGCAGAGGAGCCACAGTACAGTTCAGCCATTTTCAGACGCATTTCCTGATAGTCGAACCGAACATCATCGCGCAAATGCTCCTCCCAAAGGTGTGGGTCATGAAGTCGTATCGAGTATATCGAAAAGCCGTCGCTATGTAGACTGGCCGTGGGACCAGTGGCTGAAAATGCACAGCGTCTGGCGATGCGCTCAAGCTCCACGTGCGCCAGAAACCTAGTTTGATAAAGCTGGGATGTGTCGAAGTCGACCATCCAATCCTCAAAGCTGCTGATTTGATGGGATTGATATTTCGCGGCAAGCAAGGCATTAAAGTGGGCCAGGAATACGATGGATCGCTGCCGCAACTCCTGGCGTTGTATGTTTTGAATCCAGAAGTCTCGCCCATGAAAGGGGCCGGCGGAAGAAGCAATGGAATCCGCATTCACCTCCAGGGCTTTTATGTATTCTCTAACTTCGTGGACCAACTTTTCCATCGGCCATGACAAATATTCGTCGGCGTTCGTCCAAGGAACCGTACGTCTGACAGCAACAGCCTCTGAGAAGAGTGGGCGGCCCATTGTGATCGAAATCCGTGAGCCGTATTGGACAGAGAGATATGAGACGGAAGAACACTAGACGGGGTACCAGACAAAGAAGTATTATACGGGGAAGACTTTGAGAAACTGACGCGATGAACTCGGTCGTGGGTGTCCATGGAATATATCTTATACGAATGTGACTGACCTTCAGCTTTCTGGTTCGATGATTCCAAAGACGGCTGCCAAGTTAGTCAAAGGCTCGATGATACCTTTTTAACCATTCGCTCAGCGAATCTCGGTGTCGCAGAGATTTCTTAATAACGATTGGAGTTGGTGTTGAGAAAACGTTGTCGCCAGGACATGCGATAACCTTGGTTGCTTACCTGGAGGGCACGAACGTTCTGGGGTATTAGCGGCTTTGTTTAAAATCATGATCCATAGCGGTTTTGAGAAACCTCCCCCTTGATGTCTCCAACTCGCAAGGTTTCCCACGAGACCCTCAAATTGCGGTGCCTGGAGCATGTGAAAGGCGATGATAAAACACGCTGAATTAAACATCTCCGGCTTGGTTTGTGCAGATGAACGTAAATGCTGGAGCAGATTCTTGCAAGTAATCCAGTGAAAATTCATGGTATTTTGGACTACTCTTCTGTCTTCCACAATCTACGCCGTTGTAGCGTTGAAGTTCTTCGACTGGCCAATGTCTTTCTTCGGCCAATTAATAGCACCTGCACAAATGGACGTAAACTGAACTCTTTGTCTGGTAGAACTTCGAGCATGATTCATAAAAATGATTGAGCAGACCTAAGAGGTGTTCAAATGCGGTAACGACTACTTGTTGAGAATGACCGAATCGCAGAAACTAAAAGAATGTGACAGACCGTTCTTCTCCCTCCATCCTATGCTTCACAGTCCCCAAAACAGTACGGAATTCACTGCCACTGCTTCCCAGACAACAACCCGAGTCCCATAGTCGCCCCAAAGATTTTATCCGAGGATTGAATAATCATCCGTCGTTTGAGCAATGCCTCAGAATGAGACCTGGTAATCGGTGCAGCTGCTTCCAACCTAGAGGAGCTATTTGTAGTTGCACTTGGTAGTCCGCTTGTAACTGTCCCATGTGCACTTACTGCCATTCCGAGGGCACTAGAGGAGAAGGTCAGTATGTCAGGGCAATTCAATTCGCGGACCTGTGTACTGTGTATCGAAACTCACCCTCTGGTTGGCAAATCGAGGGCACCGGACAATGGTAGTCTTGCCCTTTTGGCCCTTGAACTTGCACGTGTCCTCCTTGTAGTTTCTGCCTCTGGTGCATTTCTACAGAAGGTAAAGATGTGAATCAGTCTCAAGCCATGCTGCGATTGAGGAACGTGTAGTATGAAGAAGTTTGCTTACCCCAGTGTACGTTATCAACGTGTTCATGCCCTCCCCGCCAGACACTCCGGCGTCTATGCCGCTGCCATCGACATCAACGGGGTTCGCCGCCACGCCGATAGCAGCGAAGAGAAAGAAAGCAACTTTGGCAATCTGCATGATGAGCGGTGTAGAATGAGAATGTCAGAAAGACAGATAGAATGAACAATTGTTAAGGGGCCAAGTGTTTTCAAAGCGTATGATAAAGCGATGGTGTTGAGAATTTTCAAAATCAGACAGTCGTCGAGCCTCTCTTATAGGAGTTTCGACATCTTTGAATCCGATGGCCAGCGAATCAGTAGTCACTTTGCGAAGGATGGTAACACATAATTACGCTGTCTAGCGAATCCTCTCTTCCTCATTGTCACAAACGACTTGCATGCGATAATACACATCGTTATTGGCTTGATACCAAGTTACCTATGGTTGTCTCCATGATGCTGTACAGAGTAACAAACATACCTTTTGAGCCTTTTCTACAAGGCAGACGCGGTGATTGTAGCACTGGATCAGCCCCTGTCATATGTTGGACCATGCTGACATCTGACGTTGGCATAAGCAGTGCTGCCGAACATGGTAAGACTTAGGTAACAGATTGGCTTGTGTAGCCCGCTTCTGAACTTGAATGTTGAGAACGTTCACGGTCCCGTAGCCGGAGGTGATCCTTTCGGGCGTCACTCCCCATCCACAACGGTTACGGCGTCACTTGGTCACTTGGTCGTATATAACAAGTGCCGTGCGTAGCACTTCCATGTTTACGGAGTCACGTTCATCATCCAGCTGGAAGTCACCAGGAACGTTACTCAGCACTGCATTAGGAGACTGGCAATGTTGTATTGCCCCCAAGAGGAACGGTTCGGACTTACCTTGACACATCCAGCAGCATTAAAGCCCAATATCTGCTTTCTTCCACACCACTTCCGTTGTGTGAACCATCTCCTCCGCGAACCTCTGCAGCAAAATTACACGCAACTGCTGAAAATGGCACTAGTCAAGTTCGTATGGGGACAGGAGATTCGCATCGCCATTCCGTGCAATATTAAGCTAGGCGCCATCCTTGTCATTGGTCTGCAAGTCAAAATAGTTCAAGGAGACGAAGAAAGCGATTTGATTTTCAACATTTCCATCGGCCTTCTGAATTGAGCTCACATATCCTGGGATCTCTCGATTTCGTCATTCCAACGGCATGAACTTCATTTGCATTGAGTATACCCCGTATGTAGCGCAGTGATTTTCATGTTGGTTCCAGTTGAGGACTGAACCCAATTCTGCAATAACTGGATTCAGGTCCAATGCCATGGAGTCTTATTTGCACTTTTCACTTTTCACATTGGGAAGTTGTTGAAGATGCGATGGTATCTGCCACTGTTCCAGCCTGATTTGCTGTTCTTCCCAAACTGCTGAAATCCATCAACAAAATGGTAGTAGCAAAAGAGAAATGTGCGCCTGGGCTAGGATGACACTGGCCCTGATCTTCTGGGCAACGTCTGATAGGGTGGGTGAAAGTGCAAATTTAACGTCATAACGCACAGCTCCCTGGTTTTTATGTAATTCGCCAATATGTCCAACAAACCACGCGCGCCTAGGAAAGTGGCCAATGATACGGGCACGCAACGGCGGGCCATATTTTCTCCTTTTCAAGCAAAACTTGCCAACAGCATCCAGCCTGATTTCCTTCTCAAGCATAACGCCAGGAGCTGCTCTGCCAAACCCTTTGTACGGCGCTTCGGCACCTGTCGCATGTAATACACTCTGGATTGAGAATACACAATATGGAGAACATTGCGTTCGCGATTCATGGACGCACTCACGCCACCGATCTAAGGTGAAAACTTTCCTGTAGTTACTATGGTCTTGAGTTACTGACGATGGATGGCAGCCTCCTCCTGATACACGAGACAGATCTCGAGAGCGACAATCGGAACGACGTCATTCAGGAGCTAAGCGGAATATTCAGATACGTCTGCAAAGTGACAGATTTGGCCAATGAGGATGGCCCCAATACCGAGGCGGTGAACCTGCTGAATGCTCTCGGTCGCATAGTAGTATGTTCAAACACGACCGCAAAAGACTGCGACATATGTTCTTGGTGGAATGTTGTTAACGCTACAAATAGCAAGAGTCTCCCCAAGAGCGGTTTGTTGTTATCACGACATCTTATGGGGGCTTGGTGTTCTCAAAAGCAAGATCTGTCTATTCCCTCATCACATAGCAGTCTGCTAATTCAGATCCAGGCGATATCTCTGGCGGCTTCATGTAATGTACTGAAGCTGCCGTCCGCTCCCGACATTACATACGCTCGGCTGCTCAAACATGTCCATTCGATCTTCTTTCTAAACATCACAAACGAGAACCGGTATTGGCCTGAAGATAAGATCATTCCTCATCATCTGTATCGTTTGGCTGGAAGAGAGTCTGGTCACATTCGATATGAGACAGTCGAGGCTGTTTCGACAAGTAGGGGGATATGGAGTCGATGCTTGGCCAAATGTTGCGACGACGCAGAACGCGGATATGTCACCATCAATTGCTCGACATTAAACCTCGCAGATGACTCCATGTCCTCGGTTGCTATCCCAATACCTTCGTCTCTATTTCACGCTACAAAGAAGTTGGGTTGTGACGTTCTGGCAAGTTCCTCCAAACTCTTTCGGTGTGGTCCTAGGGAAGTTATTAACAGCCATTTACCAGTTCCTCAAAGACCTTCCTTTCTTCGCGGAGAGCAAGTTATGGAGTATGGATGAGATTGACATGGTATACAACTTGACCAGAGAGCTATCTGGCTGCGAGGAACGTCCATCGTCTCAGGAGGAAGGAGCAATCATGACGTACAATGGTCGTATTGCAACTGCGACATCGGATGAAACAATTGTTCGGGGTTTCCTGTGTCCATCGCGGCAAACATCCAGGGGCCGAAGAGCGCTCACGAAAGACTTCAATAGCGATCGAGGATCGCTCATGGCTCCTCAACCCTCCACTGATTTGTGGAGAGTCTCTCCTCTCCCAGATGAGAGCGCCCTTTCGCCGAGGGACCGAGTTGTTTCACACAACGGCAATACTGCGCCAGTGCCGGTGGTGATTCACAACCACGCAAGCAATATCTCTTCTGGTAACCTTGTCGTAGGAGCAAGTGTTGGTGCAGTAGTCTGCATGAGCATTCAGCATGCGGGAGAAAAGACTCCTGGTCTTGCGTTGGCATCTTCTCAAGAATCCTGGTACCAAAAAAGCCTATTACGGAAACTCTTCGGTAGTATGCGATTCATCTATAGCCACCGTTTTCCAGGAAAAGGCGTCACATTGGTAGAGAAACGGTCTTCGGCAGATTTGACCGTTGAAGAGACAGAACCAAAACTCAACGAGAAGCAAGCCTTGCCGCTGCCAAAGGATCGTATTGAAACCAAACATCCGAACAACGAACGCACTAAAACGGTCATCAAGAACAGTAGAATTAGCGTGTGGATGAGAGACCCAGCCAATCGGTAAGTGTACTGCACTATCACGGATGATTGACTCAACTAAAGTTTCATCTGTTGGATTCTCAGCTTATTGATACTTGCATTCAATGAATGCGTGGATAAATACTCGCGAAACACCTATACCGATTCGTGGAGAGATCGTCCTCCAAAGCCAGTTGATTGGACGCGGCCTACCGAAGTGCAGAAGGAACTGAGAAGGATTTGTCTTCATCGAGAGTTCCAACCAAGTCTGTATTGACCCTCCATGTGCGTCTAATAAGTCTTCACAGCTTGAGACTAAGAAATCTGTCGGCGAAGATACATCATCTGAGCTTTTAACAGTAGCACCCTTTCCCTATACCTCGCAATATTTCAGATCCTCTCACTTAGGTGAAGATTATGCATGGAGTTAAGGACTTCCTAGGAGTCATGGCAAGCCTTATTGAAGCTATGGTTTGAGGAGAAAGAGAACTTAGTAGGTTGTATGTACTATCTAATGGAACTCAGGTATTTCGGTAGCGGGCGCAAGTGCAGGATTTTGGTGACCTAGTCTTTGTGATGGTAAGAATAAAGTGTTTTAACCCAAGGTTTCAAGTGCACCATCCGATCACCGGGATCCTCTTCCCCGCACCTTCCCCTAGGTTCCCTAAAGCAACAGAGAAGGTATTGTTTCTGATACCTGTATGAGCTCTCACTGGTTTGCTCGGTGGCCCTCGGTCATCTCGGTGAACAAATGCCGATCAGGACCCACACCCGCCAGCACCAAAGTCCAAGCTTCCTTCTACAGCTCCCAATCCCGTCCTCCGCGAAGCTCAACATTGCACACTCCCTCTCACACCTCCGTCAACCGCCCTCAAGCTGAGAACAATGCTCGCCTCCCGCGCCATCGCCCGGGCGCGCCCATCCCTCCTCCGACCCCTCCGCACCCCACCACGCACCACAACCACACCCCTCCGCAACACCTCAACCTCGTCAACCTCCCGCGCCGCCGAACGCCTGCTCGACCGCGTCCCCTCGCGCTTCCAGCGCTACACCACCGGCCTCCGCAAAGCGCCCCTCTCGCACATCGTCGCCTTCCTCATCCTCCACGAGATCACCGCCATCGTCCCGCTGCTCGGCCTCTTCGGCCTCTTCCACTACACAGACACGCTCCCGCTGGAGTACGTCACGGGGCACTGGGCCGACTACGTGCGCGACGGCGTCGGCAAGGCGGAGCGCTACTTCAGTCGCAAGGGCTGGTTCGGGTTCGGGGCGGAGGACCGCGGCACGATGACGGGTGAGCTGGACGCGAGCGCGGGGCTGCTCGAGACGCGCGAGGTAGAGAAGAGATGGGCGAAGGAGGAGGGGCCGGTCACGGGGAGCTTCGAGTACAGGACGACCCGACCGACGGAGGAGAGCGCGAGGAGCACGCAGGATGTGCTGCAGAGGTGGAAGGAGGATGGGAAGTACAAGGTTGTGGTGGAGGTTGCGATTGCGTGGGGCATCACGAAGGCGCTTCTGCCGGCGAGGATACTGGTTAGTGTGTGGGCGACACCGTGGTTTGCTGGTGTGATGGGCAGGGCGAGAGGTTTGTTTAGGTCCAACAAGTAGAAACAAAATATCACTATCAATCAAGAATTGGAGAGCATTGTGTTGGGTGTGGCTTTTTAGTGCCTTTTTGTTCAT